ATTATATGTAGTGTAAATTACCTAGGATAACCTAAAAAATCCGAAGTCCGAAGTGCTATACTGTGCTTGTAGATATAATGCATAAGAATACCTGTTGGTTCACATTGGCTCTCTCTGAGACAGACAGAGAGATAAGCAGAGAGATGGAAAGAGACAAGCAGACAGAGACAGATAATCAGAGATACGAGTTCATCAAATGTCATCATCCCTCATCTCTGCACCCTTGCTGGTGCCCATCAAATGTCATAGCTTATCTCTCTTATCTCTGCACTATCTCATCTTATCTTTGCACCCTGCTGGAGCCCATCAAATGTCATCTCGTATCTGATCTTGTCACTGCCCTCCCTGATGCTTATCACTGAACACTTGTCTTACACATTGATTCAAGGGAATTTCTTCCTTCCTCCTTCTCCTTCCTTCTTCCATCTTCTATACTCCCATGTATCCAAAACATTGCTGGGACCTATAAATACTTTGTATATATTCCTAGACAAAAGTAAATGACCAAGGCAGGTGTAAATGTCCGCCTGTCAATGTGTTTGTGACAATTTGAGTACAATTTCAGAACAGAGACTGGTTATGAAATGACAAGAACTACAATAAATTGTAATTATCAGAACATAAAAATTATATAAAGTAATATAAAAATGGTATATTGGCAACGCTTCTGCAAGCGGCAGGACACTATGTTGCCATCAGGTGAGCATTAAGTGCTAACTTTGCAGCCTCATATCTCAGTAAGTACTGACCCTAATTTTTTTATTTTAATCCTATAACACTTAGAAAAATGTGCTCTTTATTTTCATTAGAAAATTACGTTTTTATTTTTCAAAATATTCAGGGCACTGGGGTAGTGAAGGTATATATATGTTTGGACCGTTGACGGGTTAAATGTCTTATTTTAGGTTAATATAGACATTTTCATTAATCCATCTATGATATTTTCTTCAAAATTATATAAGAAACATGTTACATAGCAAATAAACATGCCGTGTTTATATGCTATTGAGTGGAGATTTGGGTGGAGACGTTTTCTCTATTCAGCGTTAGAGAAAACTGTGAATCTGGCGTCTCGCTCAGTAACTGCCCTTCATGTGTGTTGGTTTACAATTCTCGGAATGAATTATTCATTACTTCTCCCTTTGTTTATGATGGCATCTAAAGATAGTTGTTAGAAACATTTAAACTCGGTGAACATGGTAATATGGCTGTGTAGTGTAGCCCAGGAGGGCTGCACTACACAGAGGGGGGGAGAGAGTTGGGGACTCCCAACTCCCTCTCCCCTCCTGCCTTCTTCAGTACGCCAACAAGAGTCTTCAATAAAATTATGTAATGTTCATTTATCATTAAAATTTGTGCTGTATATTTATTTCTCATTGTTTTCTGTATGTAAAACTATAGTTAATCTTTAAAAAATGTATTTTTTGTTAATATTTTTGGGTGTCTGAAACGGATTAATTGGATTTACATTAATTCTCGTGGGAAATATTATTTCGGTCTTTTCGGATTTAGGCCGACCTTCTGGAACGGATAACGGCCAATAACCGAGGGTCCACTGTATATAACATTAGATGTTTATGTTAAGACCTCCTGAATTGTATTTAATAACAAACATTAAATCTTGTGCTCATGAAAGTAGCAACAGATTGGGGAGAGAGGAATTGTATGGGGTTTGACCTACAGTAAACCCTGAATATAATGGACTTTTAAAATTGTGGGCAAAAATCCACTGGTTAAATTGTACTTTTAGCTCCTTTTTCAGTGTATCTTGTAATATGACAGTAAATTGTGTACAATATACTATGTAGGGTATACATTAGAGTACTTAGTGCTCTTCTTTTTTTTCTTCAGTTTTTTTTTAACATTCTTTCGAGTTAGCACACTTGAACAATCCCACCCATTTGTCCATAATATTGAGGGTTTCATCCTTGCATTGATGATGACATCATGCTAACCACTATCTCACCATCACTAAAAGAACCCACTTATACTTAGTACTGTATCTTGAGTGTTGTAGTACTGTACCTCCTGTTGCCCAAAATATCTTTGTACAGTACATTATGCTTAGTTATTTTAGACATTGGGATCTATCATAGTGATTGGGCTAAGTGCCCATTCTCTGTTTTAGGCACTTTGCTTGAAATGCACCACATGTTAGGGGCTTTCTTTTGTGCCTAACAATATTATATTACATGTTAACTTCATTACTGCGCTGTTATTGCCTTATTAATCTTAAGTTAGTCTTAAAGTATGCTTGAAATGCTCTGCATATAATGGGGCTTTTGGCTTGTTCACCAAATTGTTACTCCTTTGTACACACATGTATCATGCTAAAATAAACTTATTGTTATTGTTACATGCTGCAGAAAAGATATAAATTTATATTCGTGTTCTCTTAATGATGATTGTATCATGTGTTATGGCAGCTATATACAATTGAGGAGTATTACCTTGCACATTTGTACCACATGAAAATTAGTGCTTGGCTTAGTGTGATGTCAGTCTTTGCAAAAAATTAAGCACTTGAAATTATTATCCTTGTCATTTTGCTTTAATTGCCATTCTTGTATTATATATGTAATGTGACCAGTTAGAAACATTCATATTAATGTGATACACAAAATGTTATTACCTTGCTTGCTGTATTGGTAGTGCATTTTTTTTTTTTTTTTTTCAACAAGTCGGCCGTCTCCCACCGAGGCAGGGTGACCCAAAAAAGAAAGAAAATCCCCAAAAAGAAAATACTTTCATCATCATTCAACACTTTCACCACACTCACACATTATCACTGTTTTTGCAGAGGTGCTCAGAATACAACAGCTTAGAAGCATATACGTATAAAGATACACAACATATCCCTCCAAACTGCCAATATCCCAAACCCCTCCTTTAAAGTGCAGGCATTGTACTTCCCATTTCCAGGACTCAAGTCCGACTATATGAAAATAACCGGTTTCCCTGAATCCCTTCACTAAATATTACCCTGCTCACACTCCAACAGATCGTCAGGTCCCAAGTACCATTCGTCTCCACTCGCTCCTATCTAACACGCTCACGCACGCTTGCTGGAAGTCTATGCCCCTTGCCCACAAAACCTCCTTTACCCCCTCTCTCCAACCCTTTCGAGGATGACCCCTACCCCGCCTTCCTTCCCCTATAGATTTATATGCTTTCCATGTCATTCTACTTTGATCCATTCTCTCTAAATGACCAAACCACCTCAACAACCCCTCTTCTGCTCTCTGACTAATGTTTTTATTAACTCCACACCTTTTCCTAATTTCCACACTCCGAATTTTCTGCATAATATTTACACCACACATTGCCCTTAAACAGGACATCTCCACTGCCTCCAACCGTCTCCTTGCTGCTGCATTTACCACCCAAGCTTCACATCCATATAAGAGTGTTGGTACTACTATACTTTCATACATTCCCTTCTTTGCCTCCATAGATAACGTTTTTTTGACTTCACATATACCTCAACGCACCACTCACCTTTTTTCCCTCATCAATTCTATGATTAACCTCATCCTTCATAAATCCATCCGCCGGCACGTCAACTCCCAAGTACGTATCTGAAAACATTCACTTCTTCCATACTCCTCCTCCCCAATTTGATATCCAATTTTTCTTTATCTAAATCATTTGATACCCTCATCACCTTACTCTTTTCTATGTTCACTTTCAACTTTCTACCTTTACACACATTCCCAAACTCATCCACTAACCTTTGCAATTTTTCTTTAGAATCTCCCATAAGCACAGTATCATCAGCAAAAAGTGACTGTGTCAATTCCCATTTTGAATTTGATTCCCCAAAATTTAATCCCACCCCTCTCCCGAACACCCTAGCATTTACTTCCTTTACAGCCCCATCTATAAATATATTAAACAACCATGGTGACATTACACATCCCTGTCTAAGACCTACTTTTACCGGGAAGTAGTCTCCCTCTCTTCTACACACCCTAACCTGAGTCTCACTATCCTTATAAAAACTCTTTGCAGCATTTAATAACTTACCACCTATTCCATATACTTGCAACATCTGCCACATTGCTCCTCTATCCACTCTATCATATGCCTTTTCTAAATCCATGAATGCAATAAAAACTTCCCTACCTTTATCTAAATACTGTTCACATATATGCTTCAATGTAAACACTTGATCTACACATCCCCTACCCACTCTGAAACCTCCTTGCTCATCCGCAATCCTACATTCTGTCTTACCTCTAATTCTTTCAATTATAACCCTACCGTACACTTTTCCTGGTATACTCAGTAAACTTATTCCTCTATAATTTTTACAGTCTCTTTTGTCCCCTTTCCCTTTATATAAAGGGACTATACATGCTCTCCGCCAATCCCTAGGTACCTTCCCCTCTTTCATACATTTATTGAACAAAAGTACCAACCACTCCAACACTATATCCCCCCCTGCTTTTAACATTTCTGTCATGATCCCATCAGTTCCAGCTGCATATGATCATTTATTTATTCATGGGATTCATTTTGTATCACATTTTCCTTATCAAGTAATGGCTGACTTGTGAAAGCAGTTCATATCTGGATGGTAATGAAACAACATGGAAGATAAATAAATTTAAGTGAGCCTTTCACCTTTGAATTGTCCCCCACTTCTTGGATCAGACATTTTTTCCTCCTATTCCTCATTCCCCATGTACTGTATAACTCTTAAGAGTTTGACATTTCCCCATAAATCTAGTAATAATTGTCTTATTGTTTTTTTTTTTTTATACTATAACATACTGTACTATGAAAAGTGAAAGATTTAACTGAAACCCAGGTGCTATCATATACAGGAAACGTGTGGCCTTCTGAGGCCCTCTAACTAGGTTAAATAAAGTGACTGCATCCATGAGGTTATCTATCCCCTTATTAGTCATACCCAGTAATAAAGAAAATATGTAGCTCCATGGGATTGGTGTAACTGTGCAGAAAATGTAATTTAATTAGTTATTACAAATTTACAGGTACTACAGATCAGGCTTGGAAATGGTTCGGATGGCTGATGTTTATGATGAGGAGGGAAGCCTTGAAAATGCCTTTATTTTGTACATGAAATTTATGACGTAAGTACAATTTTAGGCTACAGTACACGATTTGTGAGCTTTCTATGTAGTACTAAGAATGATAGTGTAAATTAATTTTTGAAAGTGAATCCTTGTGAAATAGTGATAAATGCATACATTTCCTCTTCAGTGTAAATTACTGAAGCATTATATATAACAAGATGAAACTTTTATTGCAGGCTATTTTTAGAAAAGATACGAAGCCACCCAGACTTTGCTAGTCACTCATCAGCTGACAAAACCAATAATACTAAGAAACTTAAGGTAAATTTTATGAAAGTTTTCATCTTCATTGTAAAATTGTAAGAACACTAAATTAAAAAAAAGAGAGAAATTTATGTAAAAGGAATTTAGCTGTAATCTTTATACATATTATGAAATAAGAAGACAATGAGATTAGATCAGTCAAAGAGAAGGGTTACTGAAAATTCGATACTGAAGGCTTGCTTTATTTAAGAGTGCAAAAATATTGATCATCTTAAAGGTTAATGTTACTTCAAATAGGAAATGCAATGTTAGTATTAGAAGGCTGAACAATCTTTAAATAAGAAAAATATTTGTACTGAAGCTATGAAATACACACACACACACATTGCAGAATGAGGCATAGAAATGAGGTGGCCAGCCAAGCCAAATGTTTAGGCAATTGTTTACTCTATAATACAGTATTTATAAACCTTAGCCTTACTTTTTATGGGATGCACCATCATTGAAAGTTTGAGGCCAGTTAGAAAGGGCATTTGTAAGTTGTCTTGTACATGCCATTGTTAATTTAATTAATAAAATTGACAGATTGGCAACTACACAGCCCAGTAACAATCCGAATCTCCCTTTATGTAAGATACACCAGTGTATCTTACTGTGTACTTAGCTTAGGTCATAAAGTTGTTTAAATTTTTAGTTTAGTATGTAATGTCCTTAAGTACTGTTAACCTTATTTTGTTATTACACACACCTTGTATTCTTGTGTTATTGAGAGAAGTCAGATTTGAGTGGGAGATGACAAAAGTTGTCATCTACGTACAAAGCAGGTTCAAGGAGATAAAATATACTGGGGAGATCATTGATGTACAGTGGAACCCCGGTTTTCATCCTTAATCCATTTCAAAAGGTCAGTCAAAAACCGAAGTAATATTTCCCATAAGAAATAATGTAAATCCAATTAATCCATTCCAGACACCCAAAAATATTAACAAAAAATACATTTTATAGAGAATAACTATAGTTTTACATACAGAAAACAATGAGAAAAAATATAAATGACTAATGAAATGGATAAATGAACATTTAAATCGCTATTTTGTACCTTTATTGAAGACTTGTTGGCGTTTGGAAGAAGGCAAGGAGGGGAGAGGAAGGAGAGTTTGTTTGAAAGGGAAATCCCCCTCCATAAGGACTTAAGGTATCAAAGCCCTATCCAGGATTACTTCCCTCCTTTGTTTTTTACTGGCACTAGGACCAGCTTAAGAGTCACTGTACCCCTGTCGCACAAAAAATCTGTCCAGAGAGCTGTTTCTGGCGTCTCTTAAGATTTGCCTAAAATGGGACAAGGCATTGTCATTGAACGTGTTGCAGACAGGGCTTGCAACAGTTTTGTTAGTGATAGTTCTCCACGAAACTTTGCACCTCACTCCACTTTGCACAAATGTCCTTAATCACTGCAGAAGGCACGTTCTCCCCTCTTCCTCCTCCTCTGAAGTAATTTCCTCAGCTGCGATCTGTTGCTGTTCCAGTTAACCCGTAAACGGTCCAAACATAATGTATGTACGTTTTTACCACTAGTGTCCCAAACGTATATATAGGTTTTATTTTTCCTGCCTTCAAGTTTGGCATGATTGGCCTGAGATGCCTTGTCAGCATAGAATGTGTACTAACACTCAGTGTACGCGGTATTAAAAAATCTGGGACCACTTAGTACCTTGTGGGAGCACCAGTTCAAATGAGCGCCAGCTAGAGCAAACGGCTGCAGACACATGGGATTCACTGATGTCATGTAGTATTAACACTCCCATTTTAAGAAGAAAGTGATTTTGACCCTGAGTTTAGTGGCTTTGAGGTGGATGTGGCCACAAGTGGTTGAGGAAATATCAAAAAACCTAGATAATAACCCATGTGCAATATTTGTGCAACACCCTTTCAGAATGTCTTATAATCTATGCCCTAAGTCAAGAGAAACAATTCTGGCTGGCTGGCAGGCTGGCTGCCTGGATGGATGACTGGCTGACTGATTGGCTGGCTGGCTAGCTAGCTGGCTGGCTGGCCAGCTGTGTGGCTGGCTGGCTGCTGGCGGCCAGGCTCTATCTCCATTTGTCTGTATCAATGTCTCTGTCTGTCTATCTTTGTCTCTATCTGTTTGTCTATCCCTGTCTATCTCTGTCTATCTCTTTCTGTCTCACAGGTACACATAAATACACGTATACATAGTGTAAATTACCTAGGATAACCCCAAAAATCCAGACAAAGTGCTATACTCTGCTTGAAGATGAGTAAAGGTGATGATGCAGTCTTGTGGCTCTGAGACAGAGAGCTAGACAGATAGACAGGGAGCTTGACAGACAGACAAATACACAGACATGTTTGTGTACCAGCAAAAACAAAGGAGGGCCATGCTCATCAAATGTCACCTCTAATCTTTTCGTATCTGCTGCACCCTCCCTCACCCTTGTGTATGCTCGTCAAACGTCAGCTCTTATCAGATGTTATCTCATCTTATCATGTCACTGTCAGGGGTGGACTTTATTTTTCATGCTTCAAGGCAACTTATTATTTTATTATTATTATGTATTCTTTTTCTTTTTTTCTTTTTTCTTTTTTTTCTTTTTTCTTTTTTTCTTTTTTTTTCTTTTTTTTTTCTTTTTCTTTTTTTCTTTTTTTTTACTTTCTTTTTTTCTTTTTTTTTCTTTTTTTTCTTTTCTTTTTTTTTTCTTTTATTTTCTTTTTTTTTTTTTTTCTTTTTTTTTTTTTTCTTTTTTTTTTTTTTCTTTTCTTTTTCTTTTTTTTCTTTTTTTTTTTTTCTTTTTTTTTTTTTTTTTTTTTTTCTTTTTTTTTTCTTTTTTTTTTTTTTTTTTCTTTTTTTTCTTTTTTTTTTTTTTTTTTTATTTTTTTTCTTTTTTTTTCTTTTTCTTTTTTTTTTTTTTTTTTTCTTTTTTTTCTTTTTTCTTTTTTTTTCTTTTTTTTTTCTTCTCCAAAACACTGCTGGGACATATAAATACTTTGTATATATTCAAAGACAATAGTAAATGGCCAAGGCAGGTGTAAATGTTCACCTGTCAGTGTGTTTGTGACAATTTGAGTACCTAATACTAGTTTCAGAACAAAGATTGGTTATGAAATGACAAGAACTACTATAAATTGTAATTATCAGAACATGAAAATTATATAAAATATGAAAATTAGAGAAGGCATATCGGCAACACTTTTGCAAGCAGCAGCGCTCCATGTTGGCCCCAAGTGCCAACTTTGTGGCCTCATATCTCGGTAAGTACTGACTCTAAAATTTTTTTTTTTTATCCTATAACACTTAGAAAATGTGCTCTTTTTTCAATAAAAAAAAAACTATTTTTTTTTTCAAAATACATATACGGGGCACTGGGGTAGTGAACGTATATATACATTTGGACCGTTTATGGGTTAAAGGTCATCCAGCTCTTCAGTGGTTAGCTCTTCCCTGTGGTCCTCCACCAACTCTTCCACATCCTCACCACTCGCATCCAACCCCATGGACTTCCCCAAAGACACAATACATTCCACAGTAGGCATAGGGTTGTCAGGGTCAGCCTCAAACCCTTCAAAATCCTTCTCGAGGACACATTCTGGCCACAGTTTTCTCAAAACAGAGTTTATCGTCTTCGAACTCGCTGCCTGCCAAGCCTTATCTATAAGGCTTATGCAATTGAGGACTGAAGCGAGTCCTCCAGAACTCTCTTAGGGTCATTTCAGTGTCCGAGGTGACTTCAAAGCACCTTTGAAACATTGCTTTAGTGTAGAGTTTTTTGAAGTTTGAAATGACCTGCTGGTCCATGGGCCGGATAAGAGGAGTGGTATTAGGGGCCAAGAATTTCACTGTGATGACGCTAAACTCCTCCAACAATTGGTCTTCCAAGTCTCGAGGATGAGCATGAGCATTGTCTATTACAAGGAGGCACTTGAGTGGCTATTTATTTTCCAGGAGGTAGTTCTTCACATTCAGGCCAAACACTTCATTGACCCACTCAATGAAAATTAGCCTTGTGACTCGTGCCTTGTTGTTAGCCTTCCACATCACACACAATTTACTCTTCATGACATTGTTTTTCTTGAACACTCGGGGATTTTCAGAGTGATACACCAGTAAACAAGTACCAAAAACAATTGGTGAATGTGCAGAGTATTGTTCACTGAGCGAGTGACACAGGCAGACTGTGAGCGGTGGTGGCACAAGAGGGCGAACGTGTCTGATACGGATGATTTTCAAGTGGATGTACGAAACCCGGGTAAAAAGTCACCGAAAAAAGCGGTCGAAATCCGAATTGTGTGATATTCAGACCGGATGAAAACCGGGGTTCCATTGTATATGAGGAAGAGCAAAAGGCCAAGAACACTCCCCTAATTACCTATGTTGACAGGCTGGGTTGATTAAGTTACACCATTGATGGAGATATGCTGATGTCTCCTACTGAGATAAAACTTTAAGTATACAATAGTATGACCTCTCTGACCCTATAATGTTCTAATTTAAGGTGCAGGATGTGGTCCACTGTACTGAAGGCTTTCTGCAGGTTTATGAAGAGGCCCAGAGGATATTCATTATTTTCAAGAGCTGTATAAAGCAGTTCAAGAATTTTTATAATTTTTTTTATTTGGAGAAAAAAAAAAAGCAGTCATGTGAAAAAACAGAAATATGAAACTGATATTACCATACTTTGATATGAGGCTCCAAGCCTAACTTACAGGTGCAGGTGACAATGTCTGCATCTTCCAACAAACCATCGAAACATTAAGGAATCGATTCATTCACTGACCTTGATTTTGGCCATAGTGGCTTCCAGTCTTTTCTGTCTCAGTGTCTCAGATATCTAAGCAAAGTGCATCAGTCTTTTTTAGTTCTGTTTACACCTTTCTAAGATATAATAGGCAAATTTTTATTTTAGATGTTTATAAGAATTTCTTGGTTTTTATATACAATTTGCATTCCCATGTTTGATATATTCAATGTGCCATATCAGTTAATATTGCTAATCATTTAAAATAATTTATCAGGATAATTTTTATTATTATGGGAATCATTATTTTTTTGTTAGTAATTCATCTCTGGCTAATTGTTTATATGTATTGTTTAAACTTGGGTTATATTCAGTTACTCATCAATGCCTCATTTCTATTTTACCTTAGGAAATTCTTCCAAAGGCTGAGAGAATAAAACATCAACTCATAGAAAAATACCAGCGGGAATATAAAATTATAGTTGAAGAGCAGGTATGTGAATGTCCTTTATTGACTTAAAGTAGTCGTTGTATACTGTACATAGCAGAGTACTGAATATCCTAAATGTTTATCCTCCTATGAAGGATCTTCTGTTAGATTATGAAACATGATAAGTACATATACAGTACAGTATTGCTGACTTTTATTATAATTATTTTTTTTTAACAAGTCGGCCGTCTCCCACTGAGGCAGAGTGACCCAAAAAGAAAGAAAATCACCAAAAAGAAAATACTTTCATCATCATTCAACACTTTCACCTCACTGATATATAATCACTGTTTTTGCAGAGGTGCTCAGAATACAACAGTTTAGAAGTATATACAGTAGGGCCCCACTTATACGGCTGGTTAGGTTCCAGGCTACCGCCGTAAAGTGGAACACCCTTTTTTTCCACTTACAGATGCATACAAACACTAGATAACAAGTTTACACTAACATATATTAAGTTAGCAATAGAACCAGGCATCAAAAAACAACAAAAAAGTACAATACACACATAGTGCACTCATTACTTACCTAAAAATATTTATAGTCTTAATCTAGGGTGAGACAAGTAGTATTTATTGTAAGAAATCAAGTGTGGTATGTATGGTAGTCAGCCAGGCTACCATACCAGGCCACCCCACCCACACATACAATTCTATGATATTTAAGCATCCCAGAGCGATAAAATGTATATACAGTTCACTCGTTACTTACCTTAAAATATAGGGTGAGATGAGTAGTATTTATTGTAAAAAATCAAGTGTGGTATGTATGGTAGTCAGCTGGGCTACCATACCAGGCCAACCCACCTACACATAATATTCTATTACATTTAAGCCTCCCAGAGCGATAAAATGTATATACAGTTCACTCATTACTTACCTTAAAATATTTGTAGTCTTAATGTAGGGTCAGGAGTAAGTAAATGAGATAAAACAAATAAATGAGAGAGAGAAAGAATGAGTGCATGAGAGAGTACAGGCGCAGAGTTATGTAAACAAACCAGGCGAAGGTAAGTTTTTTAAACAAAGTGTACATGTCTGGTTTGTGTACAAGTTACATTGTGTACAGGTTGTCTCTACATTGATACGGTAGAATAAATAAAGAAGAACACTCCCATTCTCATGTAACATCATTTTGAGAAGAAATGATGCTCTGAGTGAAGGCAATGGAAATAAGTCACTCTGACTTTTTTGGGTTATCCTAGGTTCTCTACACATATGTTATGTACGATAATCTGTGTAACTGTATTTGTGTATACCTGAATAAACTGACTTACATACATACGAAAGGAATAATTTTCTACAGTTACCCCCAGTAACACATTTTCTCTTATGTTAGATTAGAGAAAATGTTATTCTTGGCGTCACTTGTACAAGTTATCTGGCTACCACATCTCATATTTATGTTTATTCTATTTTGGGGTGTATTTATCATCTTTTTATGTTATGTATCGTGTTTATTATATAATTTTGAAAAAAATATCATGGATGGGTTAATGAAAATGTGTATATTAACGTAATATACAACATTTAATGAGACTCGGTGATTATTATTATTTCTAATATGGTGTCACTTGTGCAAGTCGTCTGCTACCACATCTCATATTTATGTTTATTTATTCTATTGTGGGGTGTATTTATCATCTTTTTATGTTATGTATCGTGTTTATTATATAATTTTGAAAAAATATCATAGATGGATTAATGAAAATGTGTATTTAACGTAATATATGACATTTAAATGAGACTCGATGATTATTATCATTACTAATATGACGTCTGGAGACATAAGACACTCTTACTGATTTTAATGTGTACCTGCACGCCAGCACAGTATGTAAGTTTATTTAAGTACAGGTATACATAAGTATAATTATCAGAGTATATATAAAATATGAAATAACTTTTAAAAACATTTGAAATTTTGGAGTTTCCAGACAAAATGGAGAGACTTAGTGCTTACTGAGCTCACGAAGAATGTAAACAAACAGGGTGGGGCGCGGTGACCGTATTAGAAAGTCAGGTGGGGGGAGCCGTATAGCGAGTTTTGGTCATAATTTGAAATGACCGTATTAGCGGAACGCCGTAAAGTGAAACGCTGTAAAGTGGGGCCCTCCTGTACGTATAAAGATACACAACATATCCCTCCAAACTGCCAATATCCCAAACCCCTCCTTTAAAGTGCAGGCATCGTACTTCCCATTTCCAGGACTCGAGTCCGGCTATATAAAATAACTGGTTTCCCTGAATCCCTCCACTAAATATTACCCTGCTTACACTCCAACAGCTTGTCAGGTCCCAAATACCATCCGTCTCCATTCACTCCTATCTAACACGCTCGCGCACGCTTGCTGTAAGTCCAAGCCCTCGCCCACAAAACTTCCTTTACCCCCTCCCTCCAACCTTTTCAAGGACAACCCCTACCCCGCCTTCCTTCCCCTACAGATTTATACGCTCTGCATGTCATTCTACTTTGATCCATTCTCTCTAAATGACCAAACAACCTCAACAACCCCTCTTCAGCCCTCTGACTAATACTTTTATTAACTCCACACCTCCTAATTTCCACACTCCAAATTTTCTGCATAATATTTACACCACACATTGCCCTTAAACAGGACATCTCCACTGCCTCCAACCGCCTCCTCGCTGCAGCATTTACAACCCAAGCTTCACACCCATATAAGAGTGTTGGTACTACTATACTTTCATACATTCCCTTCTTTGCCTCCATAGATAACAATTTTTGTCTCCAAATATACCTCGATGCACCACTCGCTTTTTTTCCTTCATCAATTCTGTGATTAACCGCATCCTTCATAAATCCTTTAATACATTTTGATTGACTTCATTCAGTCACAGGCATTTGTTCTTACATCTAAGATGACTTAGAAACTTGATAGTGTGGCTGTATGTAGGAATGTATGGCAAGTCATCCAGTCAAATAGTAGTGTTCCAGTAAAACCTTTTTTGAATTCAAAATTTTGTATGGTAATTACACACACACACACACACACACACACACACACACACACACACACACACACACACACACACACAAAAAAAAAAAAAAAAAAAAAGCAACAAAGTAATGGGTTCAAATTTGTGTGTATGTGAGGTTGATGGTGATGCAAATAATACAAAGTATCTCGTTAGTATTAACGCCTAGGTTCTTTTTTTTTGCTTCATGAATTTAATATTTTATTGCACAATCTGTATTCTTTGCATAGCATGGTTTCAATTTCTCTCATTTCATGGCATTTCTTTTTTCAACAAACCGGCTGAGAAGGGATTACTAGCCCCCTTGCTCCCAGCATGTTAGTTGCCTCTTATGACAAGCAGGGCTTATGGAGGAAGAACAAGAACTACTTAGAAAATAGAAGAAAGCCCAGAGGGGTGTGTATGTATATGCTTGTATGGTATGGTTATTATTGAAAGAATTAGAGGTAAGATTGCAGATGAACAAGAAGGCTTTAGAGTGGGTAGGGGATGTGTAGATCAAGTGTTTACATTGAAGCATATATGTGAACAGTATTTAGATAAAGGTAGGAAAGTTTTCATTGCATTTATGGATTTAGAAAAGACATGATAGAGTGGATAGGGGAGCAATGTGGCAGATGTTGCAAGTATATAGAATAGGTGGTAAGTTACTAAATGCTGTAAAAAATTTTTATGAGGATAGTGAGGCTCAGGTTAGGGTGTGTAGAAGAGAGGGAGATTACTTCCCGGTAAAAGTAGGTCTTAGACAGGGATGTGTAATGTCACCATGGTTGTTTAATATATTTATAAATGGGGTTGTAAAAGAAGTAAATTCTAGGGTGTTTTGTGAGGCGTGGTATTAAATTATGGGGAATCAAATACAAAATGGGAAGTGACAGTTTCTTTTTGCTGATGATACTGTGCTTATGGGAGATTCTAAAGAAAAGTTTGGGAGGGTGTGCAAAGATAGAAAGTTGAAAGTGAACATAGATAAGAGTAAGGTGATGAGGGTATCAAATGATTTAGATAAAGAAAAATTGGATATCACATTGGAGAGAGGGAGTATGAAAGAAGTGAATGTTTTCAGATATTTGGGAGTTGACTTGTCAGCAGATGGGTTTATGAAGGATGAGGTTAACCATAGAATTGATGGAAGAAAAAAGGTGAGTGGTGCATTGAGGTATGTTTGGACACAAAAATCTTATCTATGAAGGCAAAGAAGGGAATGTATGAAAGTACAGTATAGTGGTACCAACACTCTTATATGGGTGTGAAGCCAAAGCTTGGGTTGTAAATGTGAGGCGGCAGCTGGAGGTAGTGGAGATGTCCTGTCTAAGGGCAATATGTGGTGTAAATATTATGCAGAGAATTCGGAGTGTGGAAATTAAGAGGTGGTGTGGAGTTAATAAAAGTATTAGTCAGAGGGCTGACGAGGGGTTGTTGAGGTGGTTTGGTCATTTAGAGAGAATGGATCGAGGTAGAATGACTTGGAGAGCGTATAAAAATGTAGGGGAAGGAAGGAGGGGTAGGAGTTGTCCTTGAAAAGGTTGGAGGGAGGGGGTAAAGGAGGTTTTGTGGGCGAGGGACTTGGACTTCCAGCAAGTGTGTGAGTGTGTTAGATAGGAGTGAATGGAGATGAATGGTTTTTGGGACTTGACGAGCTGTTGGAGTGTGAACAGGGTGATATTTAGTGATTGGCTTCAGGGAAACTGGTTATTATAGATTTAGCCGGACTTGAGTCCTGGGAATGGGAAGTACAATGCCTGCACTTTAAAGGAGGGTTTTGGGATGTTGGCAGTTTGGAGGGACTTCTAAACTGTCATATATGAGCGCCTCTGGAAAGACGGTGATTATGTATAAGTGATGGTGAAAGTGTTGGATGATGATGATGATGATGATGATGAAAGTATTTTTCTTTCTTTTTGGGCTTTTCTTTCTGGGTCACCCTGCCTCAGTGGGAAATGGCCAGCATGTTAAAAAAAAAAAAAGAAATGTTTGTGTAGCGTGACCTAAGTGTAAGTAGAAGTAGCAAGATGTACCTGAAATTTTGTATGTTTATAAGAAAAAAAAAAGACATCAGGAATCCTACCATCATGTAAAACAATTACAGGCTTTCGTTTTACACTCGCTTGGCAGAATGGTTTACTTCCCTGGCCACTTGCTGTCTACCACCCTACTACCTAGTTTCTTGGTATTTACCCACGTCAAAATTTCACATTCCACTTTCATATTCCACTTGCTCAGTCTATCCAGTTCTTCCTGCAAGGATACAGTAATTCTTATTACTTATATTGCATTGTATATCATCTACAAACACGTTCATATAATTCTTAATTTTAGAGCAAGTACAGATTCTTGTTATATCCTGCCAGTAACATTACCTCATGAGGACATTGTACACTGTATGATTGTCTACATTTTCCTTCCAAATGTAAGGAAGTGTTTAAAATACCTTAGTCTAAATAATGCTTTGCCCATTCTCCTTAAGCTGAAATGACTTGGCCATCACTAAGTTTATCCAGTCATACTGGAATAACAGGTTCCAACAAATATACATATATTGCACTACCACTTCTACTCTGGTAATAAATATTGGTATTTCCCATTGCAACATTATGGACTCTCATCATCATCCTTGTCTATATCAGTGACTTTCTAATCATCACCCAACAAATCAGATCAGATCATATTCTCAAGCTGTGACCCGATTGCTGTAAATGGAATAATCATTGATGTGCTAAGAACTTTTCACAATTGGAGGATAGCCAAGAAATTTTCATGCTGTTTGGTAATAAAACATCCAACCCAACAAATACTAGAATAAATTACTATATAATTGACTGAAGAATGAAGATAGAATCCTTGGCATAATCCTGAACAACATACATAAATTAAATATTCTTTCTTTCAATGAACCAGCCGTATCCCACCAAGGCAGAGTGACCCAAAAAGAAAAACGAGAGTAAATTAAATATTCATATCCAGTATAATACAGAAAAAAGTATCACGCTGTGGATACGGTATACTCTGAGAGATCTGCTATGTAGTGCCTAGTTCTGCTCTGTACTATACTCGTCACTTATCTGTCCATGTCTCACGTGTGCATAGGGATCAACAATGGCAATCTCAAACTGATAATTACAGCCAATGATAGGTATCTGAATTATACTAACTAATAAATTTAAACACATTCCCTTTATTCAAAAAATAAAATTTTATAAACATACAAGCCATTTATATATTCTGCTATTCATTTGACATCTTCAGGGCAAAGCCAATCTAGACTTAAGATTATTTCTTTCTAGACAGCTGCAACAGAGCCCATGGGAATCAAACAAAAATAAATGCCTAATGTATTTAATATTTCATGTATTCATCTGAATCTTTGTAAAACTGCCATGCATATAAAGGTGCCCAGAATCTGGAAGTGCCTAGCTAGAGGCTCCAAATCTCTTTGGCTTTATATTTAAAATACAACTAAAAAAAATCATTGTTCAAACTTGGCTATGAAAGTAAAATTCCATACCTCCTGGGTTACAGCACTTGCTTTCTAGTGAAATAACCTGGAAAAACTTTTGAGCTCAGTGTGTGCATGCATTTGTGGGAATGAAGGAAGTTGCGGGAGATTGGGTATAGGTAACTCGGAACTGAACTTGACTAATACTCTTGTATGGCTTCTCTCACTTCATAAATACTGTACCATGATTGAGTAGAAAGCACACCAGCTTGTTTGATCTTCACATTTTCATATTTCCCTGATAATGCTGTATGACTGTTGGGTTGTCATTGTAACTTGTGCAATATGGGATTTTATACCCATAAACACAGCAAGACTAACACTTGTATCCTCCAGGAAGACTTCTTCCTTTACAAGTAGTTACCTTTGATGGGTTTTGAGAGCTTTCCTACTGTCAAAGCCTGGCTCTGGGCCAGGAAACACATTTGCCATCATTCATTCACTTGCTGAAAATATTAAATTCAGTGTCACTTGTTGGGCACTGAACATAGTTAATTTAACATCAAGGAAAAGTAATGTAGGTCATAATTAAAAACATATATAGGAGAGCTTATAACAAAATATAGGTTAATTGATAGTCTGAAGATAGCATAAGAATGGAGGAACACTGCAGCAGGCCTGCTAGCCCATATTTAGCAGGTCCTTCTCAAATCTAACCATTTCTGCTCACGTTTGTTCAACCTATTCCTAAACCACCCAAGGACTTAGCTGCAATAACCTTAGTTACCACTGTCAGTCACTGACTACTCAGATTCAGCCCTTTTTACTTGTATATTTGTCCAACCTATTTCTGAAGCTCCCCAAGGTTTAGCTTCTATGACTACTTGGCAGATTGTTTTACTCAACATCTTTATTCCTTAATGATTATGTTGCTATATCTTTTCTCAATCTGTATTTGTTTTTTCCAACGAACCGGCTGTATCCCACCAAGGCAGGGTGACTTAAAAAGAAAAAAGATTTATTTTTTATTAAATTTAGTAATTTATACAGGAGAAGGGGTTACTAGCCCCTTGCTCCCTCAGTCTGTATTTATCTAATTTAAATCTGCTATTTTGAGTTCTCTTTTTATTGGATATCATCAGAACTATTTATATTGCCTTTATTTATACCCATCTTCCGCTTTCATACTTCAATGTTATCACCCTTCATTCTGTATCTTTCAAGTGAGGGTAAGTTCAGGGCTCTCAATCTATCTTCATACAGTGGATTAATTTTGTCTTTGTATGCTTTCCACTGAGTTTAGCCATTCTGCAGTATGGAGACCAAAACTGATGTGCATAATCTAAGTGAGGCCTCTGTGTATAGAGCTGTGATATAACCTTTGGATGATGTAATACAAAAGTGTCACTCATTACTTTTAAATGCTTTATATCAATATTCTAACTTTTTTCCCAAAGGCTGATCAAATGTATTCAATGTTTATATCAAACAGCATTTTAGTTTCTTCAAAATTTGTGAAAAGGTTAATTTTTAGTTAACTAACATCAAATTAAACAATACAAGAATTTTGCCAGGATTAAAAGGTAGGTAGTTAAAGGCCTTTTATGAGAAAGATATACTGTATATATGAGTGCATTGTTCTCTCAATTGTAAATTTGCATCCTGACAATTTCCAGTGAAATTTTCATGTGTGACAGTGAGTTATATTTAAACTTCCAGAAAAAGTTGGAGGAGCAATTAAAACGCAAGCAAGAGGAAGCTGAACGTCTTGCACAGGAAGAGGAAAAAAGGAAGAAACAACAGTATGATGAGGATTACAAGAGAAATAGAGATATAAAAGATGAAGAGAGAAGAATTCAAGACCTACAGTCTGTATATCATAAAAGCCCTGCATTAGCCTTGGATGATGCTCCCCCAGCGTAAGTGTTTTCCTTAAGGTACACTTTCCTAGATACATGTATAAATACACAAATAACTTGCACATAGGAGAGGAGCTTACGACAACATTTTGGTCCAGGTTGGACCATTTACAAAGTTACACTAACAGAAAAGAGAGGAGCTAGTATATATAGGCCAGCTGGCAGGGTTGGGACAAAAGAGGTGGGAGGAGTAGTAGCAGTAGAGGTAAGGCAGGCAGTGGAAGTAGTAGTAATGGTAGGAGTAAGACTGGTAGTGGAAGTAGTAGGGAGAGTGGTTGGTGGGACAAGAGCAGAAAGGGGGAGTGAAAGGAGGCAAAAGTGAAGGTAGGAGCCAAAGATAGTAAGAAAGGAGGTAGTAGTAGTAGTAGTGGGGTCAGTCAGAGGCCAAGAAAGAGGAGCACTGCATGAGAGCTAAGGGCCCACAAGGAGTAAGACCAAAAACACAAGGGGAAAAAAGAGTGAAGGACAAAACACTCAAGACAGAAGAAAGGAAACCAAAACAAGAAAAATAAAAAATAGGAAAGAGGAGGTAGAAAGAGGAGAAAAAAAAAATCAGGTTAAGAACATATGTTGTGAAGTTTGGAGCATTTGACAATGTAATGGGAAAGAGAGGCATCTACAGAGACAAAGCCAGACTAAGATTCTGTCAGTGCGACTTTGTAAGTGGTCAAGGTCAAACTGAAACATTGTAATAAGCTCCTCTCTCCTATGTGCTGGTTATTTGTGTATTGTTCCAGTCATGGTACTGTGCATGAGGACTTTCTTGTTTGTGGCATATACAGTACTGTATAACACAGTATTAATTTGTCACTACTATGATTGCAGCTCATATCACATATAGTACATTATATCCTTGATATATCAGGCCTCAATTTAACAGATTTTGGAAATAATCTGCTATTATTTTATATGAAAGTGTGTGGAGAGGGTTGATGCAGTCAAACTGGACTGAAGTGGATGGCTGTTGTTTTTGTGTTGATGCAGATAGTGTTGTTAGTATGTAGTTGATGGTTGTATTGAAGTGCTTAAGTATTTTGCATTGTATCTCTTCTCTGTTCACCCATCAGTACTTTATACAGCTGATGATAAAACATCATTGCTTGCTCTAAAGTCTTCTTCAAAGCAATGCTTTTGGACGTGTCTGGGTCCTCTTCAGCTAAAAAATACTCTAATGTTGTTCATAGTATGTAACTGCTAACAAACATGTAGTAGTGTTAACTTTTTATCTACAGGCTTTTCTACCTTTATCCTTTCAGTGTGTCATAGTTCTGCGTCTCATAGTTCTGCCAGTTGCTCGTGTAAATCTCTGTTTTAAGTACAGTACCCTCATATATGCTATGAGCTGTTGTGAGGGAAAAGTTCAACAGATAGGAGTAGCGAGCAAGTATATGGTAACGATAGTTTGATTGCCGGCTGCTTGTTAAGGTAGGGTCAGTCTAGCTCCCGCTATCCCCCCCATCCTTTTTCCCCACCCCGAAAGGTGACGTGTGGGGCTCCGGCCAAACAGTAATCACTCGACTCACAGCTCCCACCACAACTGTAAGTAAAAGCCTCTGCTCCTATTCTAGTGGATATTGGTTGAAAGCTTCACTTTTGACCAATAATAAACTTAGTCCTTTCAGTTTTAAGCTTCCCATGAGACTTGTAGATAATCACCACCTTTTTTAAGTATCTTACACTTATCATGGTGAGTGATTTCTTAAGCAGTGGGTAACCTGTCTCTCTTTCCAGCTTGGAATGACAGCTCGGGTCACCTGCAAACCAACGAGAAGTGTTGAAGGAGACGGACTGAAACCGGTCTTGAGACGTCACTTTATTGATCTACCTACCTGATTACGTACAGTCAACCGCAGACGACTACCCCTCATCTTCGCAGTGGTAAAGAACCTGCGTTCCTGTCATCTGGACTGACTGTTCAAGGCTATAGACTCTGTGAAGAACTAGTCGTTGGGTTGTCACCAACACCTGTGACCCCCCCCCCACCACATCATCAGTAACGGCTACAATTTCTACAAGACGGTGTCAACCTCCACCAGACACCCCAGTATAACTGTACATATTAGCATTGAATTCAAATGTCATTTTTTCATTTCATTTTTCGTTTTTCTTTCAAGTAGGATACACAGTCATCTTTCAATGTTTTATCTTTGCATTACTAAATAATAAAGTGTTTATCTTTATGAATTACAGTGGACCCCTGCATACCGATTTTAATCCGTGCAAGAGGGCTCATTGGTATGCGAAATAATCGGTATGCGAATGAATTTTCCCCATAAGAAATAATGGAAATCAAATTAATCCGTGCAAGACACCCAAAAGTATGAAACAATTTTTTTTACCACATGAAATATACATTTTCCTACACACAAAGAGAAGGATACATGCACAATAGTAGAGTAGTACATGCACAGTATATATTGTGCATGTACTAGTCTACTAAATGAAGAATAAATGACACCTTTATTGAAGATGCAGCAATGACTGATGAGACACTGTGTCCTGGGAGTGCGTTTTCCTCCTGAGTACTGTAGGTCCTGTTTGGCATTTTCTTCCAGAACAGGCCTTATCACACTGTGTATGTCACTACGATTCTTAAATCTCTCAAACCAACCTTTGCTGGCTTTAAATTCACCAATATGAGCACTAGTTCCAGGCATTTTTCCCTGTTCACCTGGGTGTTAGTCGACTGGTGTGGGTTGCATCCTGGGAGACAAGATTAAGGACCCCAATGGAAATAAGTTAGACAGTCTTCGATGACACTGACTTTTTTGGGTTATCCTGGGTGGCAAATCCTCTGGGTTAATTGTTTCTTGGTATATTCTCAATAAGCCACACCAACAACAGTGCTACAGCAGCAGCAGACGATGCTACAGCAGCAGCAGCAGCTGACAGTGCAGCAGCAGCAGCTGTACCACCAATAGTAGCGATGGTTGATTGGGGTTCATTATACAACCTGGCCAGCTCGGAGACATGCACTCCACTTTCATACTTATCAATGATCTTTTTCTTCATCTCTATAGTAATTCTCACCCTTATTGCTGTAGGGTTGGCACTAGAAGCTTTCTTGGGGCCCATGGTCACTTATTTTCCAGATAAAATCACCAAAAACACTGTAATAATACGAAATGTTACGATTGTATGCTTGGATGCTACCGCGGAGGCTGGCTGGTAAACATTGCCACCGGCGGAACATGTGAGGCTGGCTAAGGCGCACATTGGACGCGTCTCGGACGAACAGCGGTGAGCGGGTTTTTGAGCGGTATGCGAGGCAAAATTTTTGCGATTAAAGTGAGCGGTATGCGGAATAAACGGTATGTGATGCCAACGGTATGCGGGGGTCCACTGTATTATTTCTTTTTCTTTTCATTAATTTTCCTGAGGAGGAGCCAGCCTTGGTAATACTCTGAAGTTGTTACAGGGCTGAGTAAGCCTTCACACTGTAAATGTTGGCTTAGACATTAAAGAATGGGTCTGTGGTGAGTATGCATAATACAAAAAAAATATTCTGCCCGACCTAAACCTTTGACCTGGGGTTTAGTTTAGATGTATTCTAGGGTGATTTTTATAGTTTTATTGGCTGTTTCTTGACATCATTTGATGGAATAAAACATACCAGTCAAATAGAGATGATTTTGGTTAGTGTCAGACCAGAAGTAGCTTGAAATAGGGTGATTTTTCCTGAGGAAGGGAAGGGTAAGTCTACTCCCCCATGGTCTGTTTTGTGGGTTGTTACTAGGTCTGCTTCAGTTATTGGAGTGGCCTAAACCATGACCACTCATTCTTGGTTATATTTTAATATCTGTGAAATAGGGTAAAATTGATTTTTTTGTAATGATGGATTCAAAGTGGAGGGCAAGTGTTGTATAGGCGATGTGATTAATGAAGAGTGCAAAGGTTGCTTTAGTAGCTGGAATGCTTGCAGGTTTGATTAGTACTGTTTTTCTATCTCATAAAGCATTACTAGGTAGCAGGTAATCGCTACTTTACACTTAGGTCTCTCTTCTCTCTACTCCTGTCGTCTGCTCTCATCTTGCTCTCTTCCCCTCTCTTCTCTCTCTCCTCTCTCTCTCTCTCCTCTCTCTCTCCTCTCTCTCTCTCTCTCCCTCTCTCTCTCTCTCTCTCTCACTCTTCTCTCTCTCCTCCTCTCACTCCTCTCTCTCTCTCTCTCCTCTCCTCTCACTCTCTCCTCTCTCATCTCATCCTCTCTCCTCTCTCTCACTCTCTCTCTCTCTCTCTCTCTCTCTCTCCTCTCCTCTCTCTCTCTTCCCCTCTCCTCTCTCTCTCTCTCATCTCCTCTCCTCTTCTCTCTCCTCCACTCCTCTCTCTCTCTCCTCCTCTCTCTCTCTCACCTCTCTCTCTCTCTCCTCCCTCTTCACGCTCTCCACCACTCCCCACACTCCTCTCACACCTCCTCACCCTCCTCTCTCAATCTCTCACTACTCTTCACCCTCTCTCATCTCTTGTCTAAAACTTCTTCACATCTCTCTCAACCTATTCTAAGCCACTACTGCTCACTGCTCTCTCACCTTTTCTCACTCTCAACTCTCTCAAACTTTAAAACATCTTCTTTCTTCTCAATTAGAAACACACTTCTTCTTTAACACCTCTCTTAGTGTCGCATTCTTTGAGAAATAATCTTTATTTCTCAGTGCATAAGGACAGCTCTACATCAATGACATATACGAATAAAGCCCATGACAAGCATTTTGGAACCATTAGCATTTTATTTAGTGTAGCATCTTGCTAATTTCATTAATTTAGATATTCGAAGAAGTATCTTATGGATACGTCTAATTTTTCGCTGTGGGAGGAAAAGATTCCTTTCCTAGCAGTGTCATAAATGGTATAGAGATGCCGGACAAAGCCTACGGAAGCCCTTTATTAAAATTACTAAATTAAAGAAAAACTTGTTTTTTCTTTTTAAATTTAGAAAAAGAAAACTTTTTTCTTTTTAGATCACCCTGCCTTAGTGGGATACGGCCAGTTTGTTGGGAGAAAATAATCTTTATTTCTACAAGTGTACATATACAAGGTATACAGGCCTAGCTGACATCAATGACATACTACTGTATAGAAAGCCCCTTGTTATGCAAAGCATTTTGGACAGATTAGGCAGTTTTTTTTAGGATGTGGCCCATACCTGTCGACTAACATCCAGGTACCCAGTTTACTGATAGGTGAACAGGAAGAAGTATCTTATGGAAACGTCCTAATTTTTTCCAGCTGTACCGGGGGATCGATCCCTGGACCTCAGTGTGTGAGCTGAGTGCACTAGCAATGAGTTGGTGAATATGCATTTCTTTAAGCCACAGTATCTTGGTGGGAAGTGGTTGATATGTTAAAAAAATTATAAGCATTATTGAGGCCAGCACTGTTCCTTGTGGAACCCCACTGGTAAAATTTTCGCATGAGAACTTTTTTCTTTCTCATATAGTGCCAATACTGTGATGCTTAGATTGGGGATTGCACCAGATGTTGCTGCACATAATATAGATAACTATTTAGGTATTATGTATTTACTTTATGCCTAGTTGTAAGTATGCTTTATTAAGATCAGTGTTTTTAACAGTTATGATGGTTTAGGTGATGTGACCTATCCCATATCAGCCTTAACGTTGAATGATGTGGATCAAGATGAGAGATTAAGTGTGCCACTTGGAGACAGAAGCCCATCTCCCAATACTACAACTTTTTCTTCCACCAAATCTAATTCCTTACCCAGCATTCCATCAAGAGACCTCAAAGCCTGTACACTACAGGTATGATATGAACTATTCATTATGCAAATAATAAATGGAAACAGAATTTCCATTTACTGTAAAGAATGTGTACCATATATTTTAAAAATAAGATTGTAAATTTCCATGGGGAAGTGGAAAAGAATTCTTCCTCCATAAGCCATGCGTGTTGTAAGAGGCAATTAAATTGCTGGGAGCAAGGGGCTGGTAACTCCTATTACTGTATAAGTTATTAAATTTAAAAAGAAAATTTTTATTTTTCTTATAGGTCACCCTTCCTGGGTGGGATACAGCCAGTTTATTAAAAAAAAAAATTGTAAATACATTATAACTTGTTTACTTGAATTTCAGCATTCCAGTAGTGGACAGGGGAAGTAAACCAGAATCACTACTAAGTGCCAATGCAGGAACAAAGATTGGGGGACTTCGTGAAGTAAGGGTGCCAGAGGAATTAATGGCTAAATTCATGGCCTTGGCCCTACCAAATACTTTACGTAATATTGAAACCTGTGGGATCCTTGCTGGTAAACTGGTAAGCACACTTTGGCAGTGGTATTTTTTGAGCTCTTTATCTTTGATAGTTTTCATTAATTAATATGTTGCAGTGTTTTTAGGTAAAGTTTGTAATCACTAAATCATATTATAGTATGTTTCACTAAACATTTTGTAGTGAAATAAGAGGCTTAACTAACATACAGTAAAGCAGCAAATTGTCATAAATGTTTTTTTCTTTGACTTATTTAGATTAAAAAAATAAACAGTACTCTGTATTATAAAAAATAATTAGGCAAGCTTCATACCATACTCAGAATGTTGGGCATGACTATACTTAACTACAATACATAAATATGAATTATTGTATATAGACTTACCAACGCCATGGGTCAGTTTAATACGTACCTGTAAGTGACTTAGTATGAAGCCATCCCTACAAATTTACAAAATTTTGGGCTTCCATATTTTTGGATTTTTGATTATCCAGTGCTTTAAACACCTACAAGCGAGTAGATTTAATTATCCATCATTTTTCTTTCTCACTTCCTTGATGCCAGTTACGGGCTCTGTCTTAAATACCCCAGCATTGAATACTCACCACCTGAGTCATCCCAGACTACAGCTCCCCCATGCAGTGTTACTTCCTGCAATGATCACCATGTTCACCTACCTCGTTGAAGGTGTGCCACTTAAGTCATCACAGCTAATGATTCCTTCATGCTCCTGTATGACCTGTACAAGTTTAGTGTTTCTTCACCATTGCCCCTCAGGAATATAATGTTATCTGGGTTGCTGGCTTTCCCGTATCTAAATCTCTATCTCTATTCTAGTCATTATTTCTTATCAGTGTCAGTATTACCATATTAACCCTTTCAGGGTCCGTCCCGTAGATCTACGGCTTTGCGTTCAGTGTCCAAACCGTAGATCTACGTCATGAGCTCAGCTCACTCTGATAAACTGTGAGTGGTACACTTGGGCCTAGATATGAGAGAATACATCTATGTGGTATGTGTGCACCACATAAAACAAATCCTGCAGCACACTGTGTATAATGAGAGAAAAAAAACTGAAACCAAGATTTTCGATTAAAACAGCAACTTTGCAGTGTTTTTTTCGTATGTTTTTTATAGTTGTATTTGCAATTTCTTGGTCTCATTTGATAGAATGGAAGACATATTACAGAAATAGAGATGATTTTGATTGGTTTTAGCACCGGAAATGGCTTGAAACTGAGCTCAAAGTAGCGGAAATGTTAAATTTTTGTCGATGTTCAAGAGTAAACAAACGACCTCACACGTCTAAATACACGCCAGCTGGTGGATCTAATACACATTCACAAATGTGGTGATGATATTTATACAATTATTACAATATTGCATAACAGTAAATCTTCTATTTTTTGGTGTGAATAAAAATTCATTTTGTAAATAAAAAATAAAAATGGGATTTATTTGTAAAGCCTCAAAACATAACTAATGAACCGAGGAAATGTTAGTTTAGTGCCAGGAATGCCTACATTGTTTATTCTGGATGCTATTTTGAAATTGGAATATTTTGAACTTTGTGTTAAATTGGCCAAATTACCAATTTCCGATCACTTTATTTTGTAGTTGAAACAGTTGACTTGGCGATTTCTTGTGCTCAATCGATAGAATAGAAGTAATACTAGTAAAATAGCTAAGAATTTGGTCGACTGGAATGATGTAATTGGCCTAAAATGGAAGTCAAAGTCGGCAAAATTGCCGATTCATAAATATCGCTGACACATCAAAATTCGCGAGAGCATAATTTCGTCAATTTTCCATCAAATTTCGTACTTTTTGTTTTATTACCTTCGCAAAAAGATTCTCTACCATTTCATAAGAAAAAATAATACATTTTTTTTTTTGGAAAATTCTTGGACACTGGGGCACCACTTCAGATTTGGGCCTTGGACCCTGAAAGGGTTAAGAGAGATACGTATATTGTATTATATGCTTCTAAACTGTTGTATCTCTGTGCTTCTGCAAAGACAGGTGATTATGTGTGGGTGAGGTGAAAGTGTTGAATGATGATGAAAGTATTTTCTTTTTGGGGATTTTTTTTCCTTTTTGGGTCACTCTGCCTCGGTGGGAGATGGCCGACTTCCTGGAAAAAAAAAAAATTGTATTACACTAAGAACTAAAATTTGTTGTATAGACTTAATATTGTATTATTTTCAGCTTCTACCTTTGTTGTGGGACCTTTAAAAACATAACCCTCTTTGAATTTGTAGGGATAACCAAAATTCAAACTATAGATCAGTCATCACTAATCCGGCAATCAGTAATCCAGTCGATTCCATCAGTAATCTGGCACTAATTTTGGCCAGCATAATTTCAAATTTCTGGGGGCACCCCACCAACCTGCTGCTACTGTTGGGTGGTGCTACTTGCCACATAAGTCATTCCAATTTCTTTTTCACCATTTATTGTTATAACCTGCTCACTTTAGCCCTAGCCATGGTTCCAACGAATAAAAGAAATGCTTCTCGTTGTGTAAAGCACATACACCTTACATTATCCAAAAAAGATAAGGTGGCTTTGAAGCCATTTTCAGTCGCCATGAGCTCAGCTCACTCAGTTAAGCTTAGACTGGTAAATTTGGGCCTACATATGAGAGAATAGGTCTGTGTGGTAAATGTGAACTGTATATAAAAAAATCCTGCAGCACGCAGTACATAATTAGAAAAAACTGTTACCGTGTTTTTGGTGTAAAACGACGACTTTGTGGTGTATTTTCACGTGGTTTTTTTGGTTGTTTCTGTTTTT